GCGAATCGGCGGCGGTACGCGAATTCCTACAACAGTTATTGAGCCCTTGTGAGGGGTAACCACTGCGGCAACGCAACTATTATTGTTGTTTCCAGGCAGCTCTTTTCTGGATCACCATGCTAAGCTGCGCGCAACCAGCTTCCACAGATCGAATTCCGCACGAGAGCTGCGCGTCCACGTGTGCGCAGCTTAATAGTCACTACACTGATTCTGAGACCTGGTGCAACAATGCATGAACTGCACTGCCAATTTGTAGATAAGATGCGATGAACTGAAGACCGTTGCAACCATCATAGACGCAAAGAAAACGCTCGGCTAGAGTCTGTCGTTCGACATTCGTTGGCCAAATAACAGTTAGCACAAAGGGTGACGGTATCAGAATTAAGTGCTGGGCTAGTTGGTAACGCATTATAGAGGACAAGAGCGCAAAAAACATACAAGTAGAAGAACAGGACAGGACTAAGCGAAGGGTGACATGGTGTGGTCAAACGCAGTCGGTCATGCATGCCACCGATACGAATGCTGAGAACTTAATCAGAGGGCTCACGTACAGCACTGAAACACCACAGCGCTCCAAACAACGTGAGCTACTGACACCATTTCATGACACAGACAAAGCGACAAAGCCCAATGTTGTCCTCATTTCATGGTGAGCGCAGCAAAGCATGCTCAGTGCAGGCTCCAAATATCCTTTCAGCGCACTTCCGTAGTAAACTTTTCCTTCACTAAAGGAACCTTAGGGAGCCAACTAGTAAGTCACTTCATGCACACTTACAGGATCCTTCCAGCTTACTTCTCAAACGTTCTACTAGTGCACCAAAAGATAACTAGGGAAGACCACTAATAAGACGCTCCGCATGAACTTGGAAGCTACTTAGGTCTTACCTAGTTTACTAAAGTATACTGTTATTGTATTTTCTTCGAGCCCACTAAGAAAGGACACTAAGAGTACGAGCATACTTCTGGCTAGCATCCTTAAAGGACGATGTTAGTACCATTCTTGCAAATTAGTATCTTAAAGGACACATGCAAAGGAAAAAAACATTTTTTTTAGATAGCTTAGATGGAAAAAGGATGTCATAAAACGATTTTACAACGAAGAAACAAAATTTTTAGAGCTATATTTACGGCGCTAAACGAATTTGTAGTTGGCGCTCGCGGGAGCCGCCGCTAATCACGTGGTAGGCCCGCGCGCCGCCGCGCTGCGTCGCCGCCGCACGCTGCACGTTGTGCGAATGCCGCTTCAACGCGTTTCTCCACGCCGCCGTCGCCGCCGCCGCACAAGTTCGTCTGCTTCGGGGCGCCGCCACCGTCGTCTGACCGGCGCACAGGTCTATCACGTCTGCTTGCGCTTTTTCAGAAGTTTCCTTTGGGCTCTAAAAGTTACTTATTTGTCTTGGTTTTTTGTTATACTTCAAACAAAGATGAATAAGTTACTTTTAGAGGCCATAGGAAGCTTCCGAAAGAGCGCAAGCAGCACGTGATAAATAAAGACCAGTCACGTGATAAATACAGACCACTTTTCCGCGGTGCCCGCGGGCGCCAACTACAAATTCGTTTTGCGCCGTAAATATAGCTCTAAAGAATTTTTTTCTTCGTTGAAAAATCGTTTTATGGCGTCCTTTTTCCATCTAAGCCGTTTAAAAAAAATGTTTTTTTCCTTTGCATGTGTCCTTTAAGAGTGTAAAGTATACTTAAAGCAACTTAGTTTTTGCTAAGGGAGGGCCAATTGTACAGTATCAGACGTGCAAAAACGGTTCCCTAAAACACCCCTTAACCATGTCCCGCGGCCAGTAACCATGTACCGGCACCCAGTAATCACATACCAAGGGCCAGTAACCACGCACTGGAGGCCGGCAACCGCGTAACAGCGGCCGTGGCCGTTTAGCCACGTACTGGCAGCGAGTAACCATGCGTTTCACCGGTCGGTAAGCACGCATTAGCAAAGCCGATACAGCGTACCAGTCACCGGTGGCATTTATGGTAGCGACTGAACGCGTACAGGCAAAGCTGGTACGCCACACGGGCAACAGGTAATAGTGTACCAGCGGCCAGTAATCGGGCTTGAGACCAACAAGCAAGTGTCAATGCGAATGCTAACACTTCACCGGCGCCGGCGCTCATACAGGCGGCCAGTAACCATGTACAAGCGCAACTGGTAAACACCATTCTAACCTATGCAGAAGTTTCCCGACATCGACTAAAACAACGACTGTGACTAAATGAGAAAAAATTTATATATATGAAAAGTTTTAACCTATCACCTACCTTCACCTTTCACCTATTGAATTCCCTAGTTTTTCATCATATATGTGAAGTTGTACAATATGAAAAACAAAAAAACAAAACAAATAGTACTTGATTCTTTCAGATGAAGCTTGCTTTTAGAATGCAGCTCTTGGGTGCCCGGTTCTGCGTTGAGCGGAGTCGCCATCGGCGTAACCGCACAAGTTGCATTATGGGACGTCATTTCCCCCGCTAAATTTAGTGGGGAAATTGAATTGGTGTTGAGATCACGTGGCGTCAATTTTCCAGCTAGAATTAGTGGGGAAGTTACCAAAAATATTTCAGTTTACTAATCAGTAAGAGTACTTGATCACCAAGTCAAATGCGTGAAAGAGTTCAAAGTCTGCACAGTTAACTTGACGGAGCCTTACTTGAGTCACGTTCAAGTGACCCTACAGAGCAGTTCAGTTTTGTTCCGCTGCATTCGGTAAGTCCCAAACATAAGTGGTGTCCTCAGAAACGAAGTTCATAAAAAGGCAAACAGAAGCAACGCGCATCTCCAGCTTGTTGCTTTGCCCTCGCGTGGCGGAAACCGGAACCACGATAGTGAGGGTTCCCAGGAAGCTGGTATGGCAGACCCTAGCAATATTTGTGTTTGTCTGTCAGAAACAACCACTTCCAATATCTTTGAATATCCCACACGATGATGGAATAATTTCTTTAATTGACATGTACGAACTCCACAAACAACCGGATACCCCAGATGGACACGTCGTCGCTACTCTAGCGAGGCTTGTCTTAGAATTAAACACGTTTGAATTTAACAATGAATACTTTAGGCAGGTTAGTGGAACCACGATGGGCACCAAAATGGCCCCGAACTATGCCAACGTGTTTATGGGGAAATTAGAATCTCAGTTCCTTTCTGAATGTCCCGTAAAGCCGCTAATATACAAAAGGTTTATAGATGATATATTTATTGTCTGGTCGCACACTGAGGAGGAGCTGGTGGACTTCATAGTTCGATACAACGCTGCTTCATCCAAGCATCCGCTTTACACATTCGTACTCTCAAACCGAAATAAACTTCTTAGACGTCAACGTTAAAATAGACGAAGGTAAACTCACCACGAGCCTGTACCGTAAGCCAACAGATCGACAGTAATACCAGCATTATCAAAGCGACCACCCACACCGTTGCAAGAATAGCATCCCCTAGAGCCAAGCTCATCGTTTCAAACGAACTTGTTCCAAAGAGACAGGTTTTGATGCGAGCAGCCAAAATTTAAAGTCAGTGCTAGAGAAACAAAAGTATCCACCTCGTATAATTGACGATGCAATCAGAAAAGCCAAGAGACTGAACCGAGCAGACCTTATCAGCCCGCGCCCCACGCAAAGCGACACACAACGCACAAATCTATATCTAACTTATAGCATGAACTATACTAATGCAAATAATATCTTAAGACGACATTATAACATTCTCAAACAAAGCGAGTGTCTTAAACGCGCGTTTCCATCCGCCCCTGGGATAGTCCACAGACGATCGCGTAACCTCAAAGACACGCTAGTAAACTCTCTGATAAACTCATCGCCACCACCTAATGAATGTAGGCCTTGCATGCACCCACGATGTCTGATCTGTAAACAGATGCAGCACACAAACACGGCCAGCCAGCACGCACTCGCAGTTCTCGATCAAAATTAAAGGGCACCTAAAATGTGCCTCGTCGAATGTCACGTACTTATTCGAGCGTATGATATGCAAAATGCAATACATAGGGCAGACTAGAACAGCATTTAGACTGCGCTTTAATAATCACAAATCTCACGCCATAAATCTTCCGACACTGCCTCTATCCAAACATCTCGCTCTCCCAGAACACTCGTTTGATAAATTGTCAGTGATGCTCCTAGAATCTGGATTTAAATCAAATCGCAAACGTGAACAGCGTGAATCCTACCTAATTTACCAATTCAACGCTATTAAACAAGGAATAAACGAAAGCCCCGGTACTCTGGCATTGATTAAAAATGCTAACAGACGAATAGCAACAGCGATCAGGGGACATATTTTCAGGTCCCAGACCTTATTGTTAGCAGTGGTACTGTGTTTGTGGCCGGAACTGGACCATCAACTTTTCTCTTTAATTTCCAGGTTTTTATATTCATTCTCTTTCGTTTTATTTCTAGGTTTAATATTGTTCCCTTCCAGGTCTAACTCATGCATGCCCCACAAAAGAACACAAATGACCGTGCCTTTTTTTTTTTTTTTTTTGAGACAGCACTTTAGTTTTTTGTGTGTCTTTCATCTATTGTACGCTATCGTCCAGGTCACCCCTGCCCGCCCGGACACAGTCACCCTGCGCCCCCTCTCAAGAATCTACAGCCGTCACCCCACCGTCCTTGAAACTTGGCCCCGACCGACAAGCTTCTCCACCCGGATACGAACTGCCCTCGCTTCCCTCTCACGAAAGCTCCAACTGTCACCCCGCCAAAATTTGGACTCGACCGTAGCATTGTATAAACACGTTCGCCCATCTGGAACTCATCCTACGCTTCTTTGGAACCTCCAACCGTCATCCCGCCGTTTTTGAAACTTGGACTCGACCATAGCCTTGTATAAATACCACCCGCGCTCATCTGTAAAAGTTCTTCCTGACGAAGGCCAGACTCCGGCCGAAACGTCGAAGATTAAATCGTCCGTTGTTGCTGTTTTCCCTAAGGGTTTTTTCTTCTCAGTTAAATACCCATGCCTTCGGCCTCCCGCCACCATGCCCGTTGTATCCAGACCGGCCCCCGGCGCACCCAAGGTGGAGCAGCTAACACGGATGTACCCCAAGCACCTGCCGACCTCTGCTGTCATCGGGAACTCGCAGACCCGAAATCTCCACCAGCACTTCGACCCCTACGATAGAGCCGCACCCGCCTTCATCACCATCCATGGTGCATCCGCGTTCGACATCGAGAAGGAGCTTGCCAACCTCCCACGTTCTGTCACGACGCTCGTCTTTCAACTGACCGAGCTGGAACGATACGGCACCGACGAGACGCTACGACGGTGCTGTCGCCTGGTCAACAACACGCTGCGAGCACGTCCGGAGCTCCACAGGCTTATTGTGTCCCTCGTGTTGCCTCGGCACACCAATCGACGCCTGGATCAGTCGAACCACCGCTTCGTCCACTGGTTCAACACTGAAGCCCAGAAATTCAACAACACAGTCAAGGGCTACTGCAGGAAACCAGGCAAGGTAACCCTTCTTGGACCCCGACTTCACATCGCTGCCGCCTCTTCGAGTCCCGGCGGCTGACGGGCTGCACCCGAGCTTCACTGGAGTCGCCCTCCTCGCGGCAAACCTGAAGTCTATTTTGCAACGTGCAACAAGTACGACGTCGCCAGGGTGGTCATCGGAGATCCTGGCCGCCGCCACTGCCAACTGCACCAGGAGAGCCCCATCAGAGGAACCCAGGCACCCCGAGAGTCCCAGGTCCCACAACGCCAGTCCAGAGAGCCCAGCTGCCCCTGTGGGGATCCCGGGAGCACCGTGCCCGGCAGCCAGCGAGAGCGTCGACTACGTCAATGAGTACCCGACACCTGCCAAGAGTGCGACACCGAAGCGACGCCCGCAGCAGCCGAGAAGTACCCCAAGGCAGCACTACAACCTGCGAGAGCCCGAAGTGGAGAGCTCCCCACACCCGAAAGAAGATTGACGACACGTCGGTGAGTCCAGTTCGTCCACTCCAAACTACAGTACCACTTTTCTTAAAGTATGAAAGATCTCAGATAAACGCATTAGGCATGAACTCCATAAATCAACCTTAATAGTGTACCTTAACGCAGGCATTACCCCGAAGGGCATGTCGCTTTCCCTTCCTCCCGCCTGCACAAACCTCGACCAACATGACCGATCGGAATGGCAACTAGGGTGACCACCATTCTGCAAGCGAAATGCGGGACACGCTGACCGGGGGGGGGGGGGGGGGTTGTAAGGGAAGGGTGGTATTATATTTCGGCTGTAACAACCGCAAAAAAAAACAAATGCTTAGTGTGCAGTCGAGTTGGTGGATGTTTACCAGGATGCTATTTAAACCAAGACTGGGGTGGAAGGAGGAAACATTTTTTTTCCTCCTTCTGCCCTAGTCTTAGGTTAAAAAGAGCATAAAAAAGCTATACACCAACTCATGTTTACAAACAAACCGGAGCGCCCCTAGCGGACGCCACCGGCGCCGCGCATGCGCGAGGGGGGTGTGGGCAAGAAGTTCGCCGTCGCCCATAAACAAACCTTTGAAATGCGATGTTGTCGGCGTCGGCGTGAGTCCCCCTGCTCTTTTTGGCGTTCGAATTGTTGATTCTACGTCTTCCTGGCGATGTCTGACTACTTGAGATTCGTCAGCGAAATTACCGAGGCTTGTTACACCGCGAAACTTCGCGTGAATAATGTGACATGTGGCGATTCATTCCGCGTGGACGCCGCAGTATCTACGCTAAAACCTGATTCGCATGATGAGATTCCGCTCGCAATTTTCAGTCGCGACGCCGCTCAGGCTGCAAAAGCGTGAACCGTAGCTGAGATAGTCGACGTCGATACTGAAAATCGCAAGCAGAATCGGACCAAATCAATTAGGCATAGCAAGTCAGTGACCGTCACTCGTAACAATGATCAACATCTCCTTTTATTTACTGTTTAGATCGAGCCTGCTCACCAACCTTCAAACTTAAGTCTTTCGAGGCCTGCACTTACTTCGTATAGCAAGTACCGGGCCAACATGTAATCTACGGGCCGGCGTCGTCTAAGAGAGCAGACGACAAGCAGAAACGTTTGAAAGAGCAGACGACAGTTCGAACGATCAGGCGGCCGTTTGAACTTGAAGACGCACTGAACGTAGTCCGCAGGTGGTCCGCACAACTTGATGGTTTTCTGGCGTTCAATTTGGAGTAAAACAAATAAGTCTGATTACCACAAGTATCCCTGAATTCAACTCAAAGTGCTTCCCGCCCAAGCAATCGTTGTCTCACGGCGTCTGCTTTTCCCTTTTCACGGCACATATCCAGATTCTCGGACGAACCGAGCACGTGAAAACTAACCTTCAAACCTTTCTCGACTCGTTTGGTACGGCCCCAGTTCCGGCGTTTTGACGAGAAGGCAGGTTTTTGTCTGGTTCCCTTCAAAACAACGCAGGAATACACGTCTGGCATGGGGACTTCTGCCCACAGCCCCAGACCGGAAGTGCGACCGACGCGCCACCACCGCTCCGTGACGTCACAGAGATGAGTTGGTGTATTCACGAAATGTGGCTCTGCTAACGCATTTAATATCCTGTCTTGTCCAAAAGCATATTATACATGTCATATAATACCCGAGACTGTGGCGGGAGAACTTGGAAACTTTTTAGTAGGAGGAGCCGACACAGAAAGGGGACGTCTCTTTTGGTGTCTGTTCGCTCTACTAAAAAGTTTCCCATTTCTTCCACCACAGTCTCAGGTATTATATGACATGATTAGCTATCACCAGCTCACCTGCACACTCACTGTCTTTTCACATATTATACAGCTCCAAATTGCATTGCGGCAATTAGGCTCAAATAATTTTCACTCTCAGTCATATATTATATGTTTTAATGCCACATATGTTAATAAATGTGTCTAAGTTGAAAACATAAAATTGACTGCAGCAGAACTCAATGCATTAAAAGGATAGCAGAAGCAGTAAATCTTTTACGGCTTCTTGTTTCTTGTGGATTCTTATTTTATGCTCCTACACAAATTTTGAACCTTATGTTGTTGTTTTTGACCATTGTGAGTTGCAGTCACCTTGCCTTGTGTGGTCTTCACTGAAAGATAAAAATAAAACTTTCCACAGCAACCTTTTTGCATTGACACAGCATGACTTGAAAGCAATTACAACAATTTATTTTTCAACTTTTTGGCGAGCAATTTCCTCTCGCAATATTTCGCCACCACGGGAAGAGAGGCACAAGGGCGCATGCGCGTCAGTTCTCCTGCGAGAACGACGGTCGTTCACCGCAATGCTTTGATCGAAATTGGTGTACCATCGCGATTCACACGTTTACCAGTGACCTCCGCACTTCCCCGTGCCCCGTTGTTCGGCAGCGCCATGAGTGAATTTTACGTGAAATGCGGGACATTTGGAAGATTTTGATATTTCTTGCGGGACGCGGGACACGAGCCCTCAATGCGGGACAGTCCCGCGAGTCGCGGGACGGGTGGTCACCCTAATGGCAACAGGTTCTCTTTGAGGCTTCCCTTAAACTGGTCCAAATAGCGATTTATCATAGTGACAAACAAGTAAAACAGTTAACTACTGCGACCGCTACAGTGCTCCGTTCAAATGGCTCCTTACCAACATCCGAAATTAGTGCCCCATCTGAATTCGATAAAAAGAAACACCATGACCTCGAAACAATCAAGCTACGTAAGCTACAGCGCGATAAGGTTCCTAACCCTGTTTTACCTCAGCTTACGACATCATTTAACTACAGCGATCATACTCAACCGGCCATTAGCATAACAGACGATGGGTCAAGCACTAATGCCCCTTGTGGCACTACAATTGTTAATCTATTTGGAGTGACTTGGCGTGTGTCTTTAGTCTATTGTATGCTATCGTCCAGGTCACCCCTGCCTGCCCGGACACAAAATCACCCTGCGCCCTCTCAAGAAGCTACAACCGTCACCCCACCGTCCTTGAAACTTGGCCCCGACAGACAAGCTTCTTCACCCGGATACAAACTGCCCTCGCTTCCCTCTCACGAAAGCTCCAACCGTCACCCCGCCGAAATTTGGACCCGACCGTAGCATTGTATAAACGTTCGCCCATCTGGAACTCCTCCTACGCTTTTTTGGGACCTCGAACCGTCATCCCGCCGTTTTTGAAACTTGGACTCGACCATAGCATTGTATAAATACCACCCGCGTTCATCTGTAAAAGTTCTTCCTGACGAAGGTTGGACTCCAGCTGAAACATCAAAGATTAAATCGTCCGTTGTTGCTGTTTTCACTAAGGGTTTTTTCTTCTCAGTTATATATATATATATATATATATATATATATATATATATATATATCTGAAGTGGGATATATATATATATATATATATCCCACTTCACAGCGTCATATGGTTCGGGAACTTTGTGCGGTGGCATACGCAATGACAAGCAAAACATGCTCCATTCAATTTTTTTCCCCATTCTTGTACTGCAGTAAATAAAACTTTTCACACTGATTCAACTAGTTTCCTTGAATGTACGAGTGATTGAGACCATTTTCCATTTCAGCTCTTCGCTCTCGGCCATCACTACGAACGAGGAAGTAGAGCTGTGGGTGTGAATCAGGGCCGTACCCAGAAAAAAATTTCGGGGGGGGTTTTCGGGGACAACGGTGGCCATTTTGAAAGTGTCTATTGTCTTATTTTCGCCTATGAATCATGTGCATCGGTGGCATATAATCGAGAGTTACAGGAAACCGGAGATCCGGTCCCGGTTTGGTACCCGGTAGCCGACCGGCGCCACTGCGCGTGCGCAGAGGTGGAGATTAAAATCGGCTGGCTGCCAGTGCACCGACCAGGGCCGTACACAGAAAAAAATTTCGAGGGGGTCAGAACCCCCTATCCCCCCCCCCTGGTTACGGCCCTGGTGTGAATTGTGCTCGTCAACCTGGAGCAGCCTTTGGTACAGCACATTTAACGTGGAAACGGGTGCGAGATTACTTTGGCCAATTAGCACAGCACTTCTTCATTCTGAGGAGCTCTTCTTCTAACCGAGCCAAATTTGGCAGAAAAGAAATTGAGTTAAATGCAAATGTTTGCTTCTCAAATTAGCTTTAAGCCCTGCACCCGAACAATGCGGGAGCAGAAGTTCTTCTGTCCTAAAATGACCGATTTCACTTTTGACTGCTTTTGCAAGTGATGCACACCCACATATACTCAGTCACAGTAAAAATGGGCTTAATTTAGTTTTCTGGAATTAGCTCATTATGAAATAAAACCTTGCCATTTAAGCTGCTCAATATACTCTTACCACTCTATTTACAGTACATAGCACAGAGTTTCAAGTCGAAAAGCCAAAATGTTTTGTTTGTGTTCTGAAATGGATCATTCTTCAAACTATTCCCTTCAGTCACCACTATGTGATTCTCATATATCTTTATTTCCTATGGAGCATGCAAGTGAATGATTCTGCCTGAAAAGAGGAGTGGTGCCCTCACAGAACTTGTCTGTCTTCTCAACTGAGA